TTAATTAGTCTAAATAAAATGATTTACTAATTGAAATATAACATTTAAATTGATATCTAAATAATACCAATTTGATATACTAATAGTTATATTTATATTAAAAAGAAGTTATAATCATATGTTATCAAATAAATTATAAAATTTTAATAGCCGGAATAATTTTTATCAAATAAATTATAAAATTTTAATAAATAAATTTTATTAATATGTATTGTCTTAATTAGTCTAAATAAAATGATTTACTAATGGAAATATAAAATTTAAATTGATATCTAAATAATACGAATTTGATATACTAATAGTTATATGTATATTACGAAAAGTTATGGTGATATGTTATCTAATAAATTATAAAATTTTAATAGTTGGAATATTTGTTATCTCATTATTTAAATGAGATCATTATATGAAATGAAGTCATTAGGATCTAAGAAAATTTATATGAAAATGTTGTCAAAATTTGTTATTCTCGATATAGTTTGTGTATGATAATTATTATAATTTTAAATATTTATTTAATTATATACACGCCTGTTTCTCAATTGAAAATTTAGTAATTGTTTATTTAGATATATATATATAATTAAAAACAAAAAAAAAAAAATTTTGCAAGCATGTAATGATTCATTTAAAAAATAAATACGAAAAATAAATTAAGCTAATTGTAATTGTAACATAATTAAAATTCACCACAGTGATCTATCACGAAACACAAATAAATTTTTGACCACGAAACATAATAGAAATAATAATATTCAACGACATGGAATACAAATAAAATTCATAATGTAAATCGGAATTCTTATCAACTAAATATCTTCAATCTCTCTTGATCCTCGCTAGTGTTGAGCGAGAATATCACCATATTGAGGAAAATTCTCGTCATAGTTGCACAGTAGAGTTCTTCGATGAAGCACAAGTTTCCACATGTTCATGATATCTCTCCTCCTATTATTAAATTCAACATTGTAGTTTTGTATTGAGTACACCTCGCCTTCGTTGATTTTACCTCGAAATGCATCCATATATGGAGAACGTATTATGAACCCTATGATATAAATTTATAAATATTAATAAAGAAATTATTTCGAATTATATAAATTGATTTAACTAAAATAAAAAGTACCTTTGCATCATGAAACAGTATACGGAATGCATTCAAGCTCTCCCGTCGACGGTACCAAAGGGTGGCAGCATTTTTTTTTCGATGTGATGTATTTTTATTTCCTGTATTTTTATTCCTCAGTCTGTCGTTTATGATGTGAAGAACCATTGGTGCTAGTGATCCTTTTATACATTTTTTTATTATGCACGTTTGAATTGACCGAAAATAATTGAAAAGATATTGTTTTATTAACAAAAAATGACGGTAGATAATTATGGAAATTTAGGTGATATACATTCATCCCTTAAATT